CTCAGTGACCACCTGGGGACTTTATGCTTCCTTTACTTGCATCTTTGTGTCTGTTGGGTTGCAGAGAGGATGCTTCCTTTAGGGGATACAGGGAGCTTTCCATTGTACCCACAGCTGTACGTGGCACATGGTCAGGCATTTGGTTTCACCCTGTCAGTGGATCAGCAGGTAAAGGAGTTAGCACAGGGACAGGTCATCACGAGGAGGGATGCTGACTGCCATGTGGTGGGAGCAGAGAAAAGTACGTCTGCACCCACCAGGCATCTTATAGGGTTCTGCATTTTTAACTGTGAGTGGATCTGCTATGTGAGTGCATCTGCTATGTGACGCAGGCATGGTAGCTACGGCTCAGGCTCCTCAGAGGTAGCCATCTGGGTCATCCCATCAAACAAATATTGGCCTAGGAAGAGGGAAATATAGAATGGAGAGTAGAGGACAAAAACCATTTTTGCCTGAAGACCAACCAGCCGGAGCTTGCTCCACTGAACTTTCTCTTGAAGGTCTCTGCTTCCAGAAACTGCAAGCAGCCACCATCCTGAGGGATTAGTGGGGTGAACTTGGGAGAGGACAAGTGGGTCTGAGTGGTGCTGGCAGTGGACGGTGATCTACCCACGTCCTCCCTCAGATGCTTCTCCTACTTTGGGGCACATGGGTTCCCAGTCAGGAAAGGCATCTCATTGTTGGAGGGCTGCCCTCAGGTGGCCACAGCTGGAAGTGCTTGAGAATTTTCATTTCGGGCTTGGGGACTGTCCTTAGCCAATGACTGAGGTATATTGGTACAAAAATATTCCCCCCCTCCTCATTTTTCCCCCCCTGCTTATTAGGACAGTTCTAAAAAGTGACCTATGCTGTCCCCAGAGCTTCTCTGTAGGACCGAGTCAAAGCTACCCTCCATGGGACTTTCTTTGATATTGTACCCTGACTTGGTTTCCTCCCGATTCTGTTACTATTTTCCATTCCTTTGTCAATTTTTAAAAAATAATAAATCACTTTTATATGAAGCCTTGTCTCAAGGTGTGCTAGTGAATCCAACCTAAGACATTTTCTTAGGTGTTTGAAGTGAGGGAACCAGATATATTAAATTTGTAATTAGAGTTTAAATGTCTAAGGAAATTTGATTAATTTTGTAAATAAATGTTAAATGTTGATTTTGTCAGGTAAGAGTTCATTAGAATATTAATAGAGGGACAAATGAAAGTGACTATTCTTTTCAGTGCAGAATGTATTAGGTTTATAAATAAACTAGTAAGATGCATAAATTGAACATAAAGTTTTAAAAGAAATTAGATTTCTAATTTATAACTTTAATATATTCAACTTGAAAAAAACAAAAATATTTTTAGGAATTTCTTTCCAGGCTAGGGAGTCCTTTTTGGGCAGTAGAAACTCATTACACTTTGAAGAAAATAAATATTGAATGAATTAACTCAAGGCATACCTGTATGTTTATAAATATCTGTAGCTATATTCTTCATTGTAAATGTGAGTTATCAAATGCATACAGCAAGATGTAAAATACTCAAGTCAATATCAAGATGTCAAGTCTGAACTAAAAATTAGAAGCACTCATAAATTATCCTAGATACTCATTTACCAAACTAGACAACTAATTACAATTACGTTCATCAATGCATATAAAACAGGCAGTTCAACATAAAAATGAATCTATAAAAAGGTGCATCAATAATCATAAATGCAAGGTATCATTACATCCTATCCTGGTAATCATCTGAGGGAACTACAATTTTAAAATCTGAAATTTCACCTTGAAACTAAAAGGTGGATAAATACAGTTGAATACATTTTCAGTAGTGTCTGTTTTTCCAAATGCAGAGTTAAGTTACCAGAGAAAATGAAGACAGAATTGAGAAGATGAAATGAAGCAGTATTTATTTTATTACAATAGTAGGTAGTGGAAATTTTATCTACATTTTCCTGAGCTGTACGAAACAGAATAAAGCACTTAGTGCCTAAGAGACACATATGTTGTTAGAATTTAGGGCTTAAATACTTATCTTTGGCAAATTATTTTACTGTCTGATTATGATGACAGGATCTCTTATCGTGCAAGGCAGAGTTAGTTTCTATTTATTTAGATTTTATAACAAAGTAGGACCTTGGTCAGAGCATGTGTATGTGCATCTTTTCTCTGGGGAGGCAAAGGAGAATGAGAGATTTTAAATTACCTGACAGTTATATACTGTATAATAATAAAACCTCAAAAAATTTAAATATTCATGTTTGTTATATAGTGCATGAATTTTGAAGCAAAGTTTACAGTTTTTTCCCACACAGAACCTGTTGAATTGTAGCTGCTAAATGGTTTTTATGTAGTCATTCAGAAGTACTGGAAAAATAGTCCAGGTAAACAAATACATATAATCATAAATCATAATTTATATAATAATAAATATTAATGATCATAGATCATAATTTATATAATAATAAATATTAAGTCAGATTTGCAATATTTCAGAAACATCTTTTTCTAAGTTCAAACAATATTTCTAAGAGCATATGTTATGCTTTAAGATGGATTAACATATAGGTCTTACTTTAAGGAAGTTAATTTTATTTTATTTACTTCTTTTTCATGGTGCTGGGGGTTAAATCCAGGGCCTTACTGCATTCTAGGCAAGCTGTCTGAGCTACTTCTTCAACCTAAGGAAGTTAATTTTAAATACTTTTCATAAGAAGAAAATTTAATGAATGAGTGGGCTAGAATGCAAAAAGAACTAAAAGCTAAGTATGAAAAACTATTATTCCTCCAAGAGGAGGAGGAAGAGGAGGAGAATAAGGAAAGAAGGAGAAGGAGAAGGAGGAGGAGGAGGAGGAAGAAGGAGGGGAATTGCCAGTATATATTTGATTAGATAATAAACAACCTCATTCTGTGCTGGTCCCAAAGAATAGATGTCAATGTTTAAACACTAAGAATGATGCTTAGTGCAAGCTTTTGGGTAAGTCTCCCTTATTAGATTATGATTTTCTCCTTTTGTAATTTGCTATGGATTTTAAGCATGGATAGAGATTAAATTTTTGGCAAAACATTTCTTCTACATTAATATATTTTTCTTCTTTTATTTGTTAGTGTTTACATGACTTAATTTTGTAATGCCAAATCAAACCTTCAATTACTGGGATGAGTTTTATATATTGATATATTTTAAGAATACTAATGGATTCAATCTGTTAAAAAAATTTTCAGGATATTTGTATCTATGCTCAAGAATGCAACTGGAGTCTAACTTTCCTTTCTTTACTGAGGTTTTATGCTGAGGTTACACTGGTGTCCTGGAATTATTGAAGGAGTTGGGGAGTGTCCCCCACCCTATCAGCGGTCTCTGGAAGAGCTTGTGCAGCAAAAAGATTCTTCCGGAACAATTTGTTGGATCTCACAGTTGCTACCAGCCAGCCCTGGGATTTTTTTTAAGGGGGGACTGACTTCTTTTTTTTTTTTTTTTTTTTTGGTACCGGGGATCAAACTCGAGTCCTTCGGCTTGCGAGGCAGGCGCCAGAACCACTGAGCTACATCCCCGGCCCTTGACTTCTGATTATTCTATTTATTTTATGCATTATGACATAATTAATTAATTAATTAATGGTGCTGGGGATTGGACCTAGGGTCTCAGGGATGCATGCTAGGTAGGCACCCTACCACTGAGCTACATTCCCAGCCCAGTATTTTTATTTCTTAGTGAATCAATTTTGATGAAAGATCTTTTTCTAGCAATGTTAATTTTTGAAAAAATGTATTGTCATAAAATTGTTCATATGACATGTCTTTGTTTTCTTTCAAAGCATCTTTAGAATCCTCTTTATTCCTGATATTCATTATTAGTGACTCTTCTCCCCTACTTTATTTGTTACTTTCATTAGTCACCATAAAGAACCAAGTTTTGATTTTTCTGATGCTCTCTATCGTTTTTGTTAAAATTTTCATTAGTTTTTGCTTTTTCTTTCCTTTTATTTCTTTTGGTTTATTTTTGCTATTCTTTTTCCAATGTATTGAGGTGGATATAATATGCCTTACATTTTAGCTTCTCTTTTAAAAATATCTACGTGTAAGTTTATATAAATTTCTAAGTACTGCTTCAGCAGCTTTACTGCGTATTTTGATATGTAATATTTTCATTATTGTATAATTTGAATTACCTTCAACTTCCCAATATCACATTCCTTCTTCACACATTGGTTATTTTAGATACACTTATATACTGTAAATATTTTTCAGTTTGCGGATACATAGGTATTTTCCTGGTCTTTGTTTGGATTTTAATTCTTAGTAACATTAAATTGTGGTCATAGAACATGCTAAATTTTATTTGTATTCTTTTAAAAAATATTTTTAATTTTATAATTGATCTGGGTACTTGGTATATACATCACCTCATTCATAGTCTTTCAAATTTGTTGAGACTTGTTAATGACTAAACATACCCATCCTGTGTAACTGAATGTTTGTGTCCTTTGACTAACATCTTCCCATTCCCCCACTGTCTGCCCCAGCAACCTCCATTCTGCTCTCTGCTTTTGTGAGTTTGGCTTTCTTATATTCCCCATCGTTGAGGTTGAGGTCAAGAAGTATTATTTGCTCTGTGTCTCACTTGATTTAATTGGTATAATGGCCTCCATGTATACTCATGTTGCCACAAATGATGGAAGTTTCTTTTTTTCGTACTGGGGATCAAACTCGAGACCTCGAGCCTTCGAAGCAGGAGGCAGCACCACTGAGCTAAATCCCTGGCCCAGAATTTCCTTTTTTTAAAGGCTGAATAAGGCTGAACCATTGCATATATATAACACATTTTCTTTATCTGTTCATCCATTGAAGAACACTTAGGATCTCTTTCTTGACTTCCATATTGTTGTGTATTTCAATTCTTTAAAAAATTTTTTCAGTAGACATTGTTATTACCAATTCGAATAGAATTTGGTCAAATTTTATGCGCATCAATCTGCAGATTAATCTTTTTGTTCTTTTTTTTTTTTTTGCACTTCAGACTGTCTGAATCTCTCCCTCTGCTTGAAATGCATCATGTAGTCATTCCCATGGGAAGGTTCTGATTAAAGACAAATCTGATACGTGAGTTAGTTACAATCTGCTGCCAGGTATGGGAAAGGAATAGAACCTTGGATTCCAGACGATGCACTATTTCTTATTCCACCCAGAGGTAAGGTGCAGTTTCTGCAGTTTGCATTTTCTTGGTGTTGGAGAGAGGTGGCCCTGGCCCTGGTGGTGGCTGGCCATAGTGACTGGGACCCCAGGTCAGATTTGCTTCTTGATGCAGCCATAGCCAGCCACTGGGTAGAAGAAGGGCATGTATTCTTGCTCCTCAGAGATGGACCCATTTTTGAGCACTGAACTTGTTCCTTCATTGGCACAAGCAGGTTCTAGAGGTGGGCTGAGTGCTCACAGATTTGTTGGCCTGAATGTTAGTTTCTGGGATATGCTTTTATTTTGCAGAATGGGATACACATTCAACTTCTTAGAAAAAAAAGGTCTACTCCACCTTTTTGGTCACACTTATTTTAAAAAAGAAGGATTGCAAGTTACACCTGAAAATAAATTAAAGTAAATTTTATTTTATCAAGAATACCTGGGGATTTAGCTCAGTGGTTCCGGTGCCTGCCTCTCAAGTGCAAGGTCCCGAGTTCGATTCCTGCTGCTGCTGCTGCAAAAAACAATGATCAGGAAATCTTTCCTTTACTGGGTAGGATCAGGAGGTGAAATAACAAAAACCAAATCGCAGCAGCAGGAGACCATTTGTCAGTAAGTACCGCAAGATAAGCGGCAGAGATCTTTGAAGTAGGGCAATATAAACAAAAGGGGGTTATTCGAGGCCTGGTCTCAGGAAGGTCAGGAACACAGTGGGTATTTGTGATTATGTTTGTCTCACTCAGAGCCAAACCCCAGGTGCTGTAGGACTACAAAGCTATCTCGTCTTCCTGTATCACCTAACCCTGGGATTCTCTGTGACATTTTAAATTGCTCATTTGAGAGCAAATCAAATGGAATGCAGTATTAAAACACAGATTGTATTTGTAGAACATGAAAAGCTAAAAACCTGAATGGATTCAAATAGCATTTTGAAAAATCTGCTATATTGATTCATTATTTGTTGTTAAGGGGATGTTTTTATAGAATATTAGAATTGAAAGTTCCCAGTGAAGTAGTGTGTAGCCATGTAATATTTGGGAACTACTTACACTAAAATTAGCCATTGTTTATGTGAGACTCTATCAATAGTTACTCTATCAACAGTTATGTGAACTGTCAATCCTGCTCTGAGGCCTTCTTCCCAGCATTAGCAAAATCTCACCACATAGAAAAACTTAGAAAATTATTAGAACTATTTACTATGTACAAAACTATTAGTGCTAAAAAAAGGGTCTATTTATCTGCTGTTATAGAATGTTTAAACGTACAATTCAAATATCTTACCTTTGAATTAGAGGTGAGAATGTACATATGATGTTGTTCTTTTATTGATGTTAACCTTGGCCACTTGAATAAGGTAATTTTCATCAGATTTCTCTACCCAATATTTCTTAAAATATTTGTTCTTGTATTTTACTTGGTATATATTTTTCTCCTACTGGCCTTCCCATTATTAAGATAATATTGCTCCTAGTTCTATCTTTTATATCTTTAGCTTTTCTTTTATAGTTTGAATCTCTTTATGTTTGTTCTGCTGCCTTCTAGGAGAATTTCTTAGTGTGATCTTCCTATTTACTAATTTGTTGTTCAGTAGTAAATGTCTATGTGTCATCTCTATTGCTTTCATTACTGAAAAATACTTTTATATGTGATATTTCTAGCGGATTCCATTTTCACTAGTCTTTGTTCTTGTTTCTTATTAGCAATATCTTCACTTACAGGACTTCTATCTTCACCAAGTCAGTATGCAAGGCCTTGTGACCTGTCCTCAGGAGTTGTGCAGTAAGTAAGGTAGCCTCAAGTCCCTGACTTCCGTTAGTACTGTGATCATGCTGATTTAAATATCTTTTTGTACCTTTAAATGAAACACGTTTCATTCGTTGTCTTTTTACAGTTGTAGTTGTCAGTGATATAATTACTTTGGATGAAAGATTTTGTTTTCCTACTCTGGAAATATCCACTACTCTTTCTGTGTGTGTGTCTCTAATTTGTATCAAGACATGTTTCCATCCCCTAGGAGATGGAAGAGGAAGGGATTGAAAGAGTGAACATCTCCTGCTCAGTGGGGGGACAGTTGCTCAGGTTGCATCTGTTTCCCAGCAAAGCTGTTCTGCTGTCCCAGTCATGTCTGTGGATTTCACAAAGGTCGTGGTCACTAAAGTCTGTTGTGATGAGTCAGACACAATGTTTCCAAGGTCCTTAGACAGAGAGGAAAGGATAGAACTGTGAAGGGGCTGGATCAGTAGATTGGAGGTCCCAAGATAGCAAAGGATTGTTGGGTCAGAGCACAAGAGAATCTAAGTGGAAAGTAGGAGATAGTCGTGCAGGAGTGGGATGCTTATTATGTTGAGGTGGAATTAACAGTTCATGGCCGTGACAAGATCTGGGGTGTGACCGTAGATGTGAGTTCCTGAGCTGGGTAGTGGGTTTCAGTGTGAAAAACCACTGGAAGTGGAAGGTCAAGAAACAGAGCGGTCAGAGTTTATGTGAGTTCACTAAGAATTAAGATGGGATAGTGCTGAAGACAGTGAGCCCAGAGCTAAGGTAAAGGGGTGACCTTGAGCCCAGCAGATGACAGCAGCAAGCAGGTAAAGTAGAGGGCACAGTCTGACAATGGGATTCAAAACTTTAAAAAATTTGGGTTTTTGTTCCGACACAGGGTTTTGGTACATCATCCGAGGTGGCCTTGAACTCTTTGTAGGCTGAGCTGTCCTCAAACTCATGACACTCCTGCCTCAGCCTCCCAAAAGCTGCGATTACAGGCACGTACCACCACATTTGGCTCTTTTTCTTTTTCTTTTTATCTTAATGGAGTAAGAAGGGAGAAAAGTCTGGAAGCTGCCATGAAAAGGGAGGAAGACTACTTCACCTCTGGGTGCACTGGATAGGGCTGTGGGAAGCAAAGTGGGAAACAGCTGAAAGGGCTGCTGAGAAAACACCCACCTTGCAGAGGGTCTAGTTTTTTCAGTTAACAAAAAAGTAGATACACACGCTTATGGAGGATGTTGATAAATGACAGAAGCAAGGTGCAGAATGATACATCAAGTATGATCACATTTCTACAGAACAGAAACAAAAGGAATAATCTCAAACACTTGGGCTGAGGACATGGTTCAGGGATACAGCACTTGCCTAGCATGTGAAAGGCTCTGGGTTTGACCCCCAGCATTGCAATCAAGTAAATGAAGCACACACAACCAATAAAAAACAGACCCCAAATCCGAGCACTGCTATCCATTTTATTTTGGTGCATGGAACTCTGCTTGTGTTTGTACAGAGAAAACTTTGGAAGAAATTGGCAACTGGAGTGGTTCTCTAGAGTTCTGTTTCTATGAGGAGAACACATTTGTGTTTTACTTGTGAAATTAAAAATGAATCTGAAGGAGCGGGCTGGACTTACTGATCCCTCTCCGGTCATGAGTGTTGGGAAGGGTGGACTCAGAACACACTGGTGTGGGATTGTTGTGTTTGATTCCAAAGGTGCATTGAGGGTGACTTGACCTGGGAAGAACTGTGCGGTGTCACTTGCGGCAGGAAGTAGTTGTTGTCACTGCCAGGCATCTGGGAAGAAGCAGATCTTGGATTAAGACACGTGAGCAGAAGAGGAAGGGGGCCAATAAGGACCTCAGAAAGTTGGGTCTGGGATCCCAGGAGAGGATGGAGTTAGCTTCTGACTGTGGAGCAGCAAGTTTGAAGCCTGGCAGAGAGATGAAATTCTGCGAGGGGCTCCGTGGAGAGATCAAGAGACGTGCTATCCATGGCAGCAACTATGAGTCAGGCATGTCTACTTAAATTTAAATTTACTGAAAGGAAATGAAATTGAAATTTAGTTCCCCAATCGCAGTACCACATTGTAAGTGTTCAATAGCCATGTGGGGTTAGTGGCTGTGGTGCCCAAGAGGGCAAGTATAGAATATTTTCAGCATTGCCAGAAGTTCTGCTGGTCAGACTGTATGTAGGGCCATGTGGCCCTGGGAGTGGCCATACCATATCTTCTCTTATCCCTGTGCCTTTCCATAGAGTTATTGAGGAATCGTATTGCTGAGCTATGCTGTGACAAATTAAGAGGAGAGATTCTATCGCGCTTAGGATGGGGTACAAGGTGTGATCAAGAAATAAGGCTAATGTTTAAATTTTAAAATTTTTCTTATAGTAAAAGACACAATGCCATTACTTCCCCTCCAAAACTTGCTTGGACTACACTTATCCTGTTATCCTGTTATTCTGGACACTTTCTGACACCGCTCTGGAAGTACTTTTCGTGAGTGTCTGGTGGTGCTGTCCTGGCTGCCTCGATATCCTGAAATGATTCAAAATGTTTGCCTTTCACGGACATTTTGACTTTGGGAAGATTCAGCAGTCACAGTATCAAATGCAGTGAATACGGTAGATGAAGAACATACTGTAATGATTTTATTTGACAGATACTGCCATAAATGGTTGATCAGCGAGGAGTGAACATAGAATAAGGTGAAGATTTAAATTTAAAAAATTGTTATAGTAAAAGACCTATTGCCATTGGTCACCTTCAAAATACTCAAAATACTCCCTCTCCAAAAAAAACAAACTCCCTCTCACTTTGAACATATCCCACTTCTACTCTTGACAGTGTGCCTTTTACTCTAGTAAGATTTTTAAAAATGTAAATATTCCCTGGATCTTTCAATCAGCCATTGTGTAAAGAGAAGGACAGAGGCCTCTCCCATGATTGTGGCCTGGGTTTTAGAGCTGCAGAACAGGAACCCCCATGATCAAAGCACCAGTCTCCAAGGGGAGGCTGAAGGGCAGAGTGTGAGGTCAGATTTTGGAGCTTGCTGGAGCCTGAGATGAGCTGAGATGTGACAGAAGTGGATGGGAACATAGGTTGCTGAAGCTGCATTCCTGTTATCCAGGGAGTGGAGATTAAACTATGGCATTATTTTATATCTAAAGCTGATAAGGCCTGAGGGTGTTGGTTCCATGCATAGAAAAATAATTTGTATTCACTTCTATAGGAGGAATTTACTTAGCTTTGACAGCTCAGCAGGTACATCTTGTAGGGTCAAATAGCCGTTGGGCTTGGTAAATGATCACCACTGTGTGATGATTTTGTCTCTTCTTGTATATCTTGTGTGAAGGGTCATGCTGATTCTCAGATCTCGGGGATGTATTGCTGCCATGTTATTTTAACCCCAGTATACCAGATTTGACAACTTTGAGGTGTAGAATAGAATCATGCTTCATCATTGAGAGTCCATAATCACTGACTCTTAAATTTGATTATTCAGTTTTACCCCCCAAAGCCAAATGAATAGTTTTAAATTTTCTTAGCTTACACAACTGGTAAAATCCTCTCCTCTCTTGCTCCCTCCAACTCAAAAGGGACAAAGTGGCAAGCTTTTAAATAAATCATTAATTGAAAAAAACTGAAGATTTTTGTGTGGAATTCATGAGGGCCCAAAGGTATTAGCTACTCAGGGTAACTTTTAACCCAGGGAGGAAATTACAAGTTTATGGTTTGTTTTGTGGTCAACACCATTCTTTCCAGGTTTGTCAATGGCCTAAATTGTGCAAGAAAATAATTGGAAACCCGCTGATAAAAATAATACAGTGATTCCTCTTGTTGCTATGGAGACAGGAATAAATTCAATCCATTGCTCTGAAAAATTGCTTGAAAGTGTACTTTAGCATTCCACAGTGGGTGTATTTGTTAAGAATTTTAATCTGTCAGCTTCCATCAAAAATGGTGCAGCACTCAGAGAAATATTTTACAGCTGTACTTTTAGCTGGTTTTGATTATTTTAAAAGAAAGCAGTGGAGTAGAAACAGTCATCATTATGTTGAAAATTTAGGGAATTTTCTAAAAGTGGCCTGGCAGGTACTCACCTAAAAGCCCATGGCAGTTTTGTTTCCCCCATCATGGAAAATGTCATGGTTGGCACCAGCTAAACTTTGGATGAATTTTTAGGTCACTGATAATCCTAGGCAAGTCCAAAGATCTGGTCTAGAAGCCAGAGGAAGTGGATTCATACTCTCATTCAATGTAAGGCTGTCATGTAGCATAATGAGAGTCAGTGAGCCCTGGTGTTTCAGTTTCCCCATTTAAGTTTTGGTTATGAGCATTTAAGACTGATAATTAACATGCACAGCACGCACTGCTCTAAACCTTTTATGGATTTTGTCCATATTCTTAAGGTGTAAATAATACTATTATTTATAGTATAGTAAGGTAAAATAATACTATTATTTACAGCTTGCAGATGAAGAAACAAACTTGGACTTGTTCACGATCAACAGTGAAAGTGAGAGTTGGGGTTTAGGCCCAGGGGCGTCCTGGCTCTAGACTCTGTGGCTCCCCTGGATACTTGCTGGTCTGATCCTCACTTGTGGTGATGCAATTGGTTTTTACATATTTGACCAGGAGTTGGTCCTTGCTGGAGGACTTTTGGTAAAACTTTGGTGAGAGAAGCGTGTATTTAATACTTTTTGGTTCTGATCGTTTATTCTGCTATCTTTATGATTTTGTTTTTTCATTAAAAAAAAACCAATTCTTTGTTCTGTGAAGAAAACTTTTTGGATACAGACCCAAAAGCCTGGTTCTACGCCACAGATTTAAGAGGTGCCAGGAGAGGTGCCATCTCCTGTGAATGCAGAGATTGAGTTCCCTCAAATCCTGGTTCGAATGGACTGTTAAAAGAACAGCTTTAGACAAGTTAAATTTAGCAGAATTAATGTGAGCAAAGAAAAGATTCATGAGCTGGGTGATACCTAATAACTAGTAATGGTTCAGAGAGCTCCACCCAGGGAAGTGGACACTGCAGGGTTTATAGATCAAGAAAGGAAATGATATACAGAAATAGCCTATTGGTCACAGCTCAGCATTTGCCTCATTTGTACATGTTTTTGCAGATTGCAGCCTGTGATTGGATGAAAGCACAGGGGCTATGATTGGCTGAGATTTTGTTACTTGTTACAAATAATACACTCTCAAGTTAGGTTGTAATTTGTTTACAAATAAAGTTAGGTTACAGATCACTATGTATGGAGGCAGCTTTAGGCGAAATTTACTTTTTTTGTCCTGGGGATTGAGCCCAGGGCTTTTGCACTGAGCTATACCCCTAGACTTCCTTCTTTATTTTTTATTTTGAGACAAAGTCTTGTTAAGTTGCTCAGGCTGGGTTCAAACTTGTAATCCATCTGCCTCAGCCTCCCAGAGTGCTGAGATTGAAGACATGCACTACCACACCTCTCTCAAATATAATTTAAGAGGACCTATTGTGATTCATATGGCCTGATGCCTATGGCTGGAATACATTTCTTTGTGTACTTGCTGAGTGTAGTTAACCCTTTTCTGTTTGTGTGTGTGTGTGTGTTTTATTTTATTGGTACATTTTAGACCTGCATAATGATAATATTCATCATAGGGAACCTGTACCCGTACATGATACATGTGTCCCTCCTCCCCCTTCCTCCAGCCTTCCTCCTCCCCCTTCCTCTAGCCTTCCTCCTCCTTATTTACAAAAGCTTTGTTTCCATCTTTTCCTTTTTTTTTTTTTTTTTGGTACAGAGGATGGAACTCAGGACCTTGTGCTTGAGAGGCAGGTGCCAGAACCACTGAGCTAAATCCCCAGACCTGATTTTTTCCTTCTATTCTCTTTTTTCTCTTCTTTCTTCCTTCCTTTCCCCCTGTCGTCTCCCTTGTTCCCCTTCTCATTTGAACATTTTCTTCTTATTTCCCAATATCTGTTATACATTTTGGTTCTTATTTACACTTTTGGTTTCTCACACCAGAGAAACAAGGTGGTATTTACCCATGTGTGCCTGACTTATTTCACTTAAGAGTATATTCTCAAGGTCCATTGATGTTTATCCTTCTTTATGGCAAGAGTATACTCCACTGTATTAAAAAAAAAAACACCACAGCTTCTTTATCTATTTATCGGTTGATGGGCATTTTCCAAGAATGGGCTGTTTCCAAGATTTAGCTGTTACAAACTGTGCTGCTATAAGCATGGCTGTGCATATATCGCTGTGGTATAATGCTTTTAATTCTTTTGGGAAGATACTAAGAAGGGGAATAGCTGGGTTGAATGGAACCTCTAGTTTTAGTTTTTTGAGGAATCTCCACAAATTTCCACAGTGGTTTCACCAGTCCACACTTCCACCAACAATGGAGAAGGGTTCCTTTTTCCCAACAGCCCGGCAAGCATTTGTTATTGGTTGATTTCT